TCCGTCTCGTCCTCCTCCTCCTCCTCCTCCTCCCCCCCTCCTCCTCTTAGAAGCCGGGGGCCTTCGTACCAGATTCCGGAGGCTTCTCCGCCAGGCTCGTCCGAAGCCAGTCGGGCTTCGGAGAAAGCCCTCTGCTTTCTTGGAAGCCCCCCGCCGTCATGGAGGCCCACCCACCTCGCGCACCCCCCGCGTGGGCGCCGCCAGTTCCGTATTCGTCGTTTCTGTTTCCACGTCGTCGGATGGCTCGAGCCACTTCGACGCACACGTTGCTGGCACGTGTGATGTACACTAGGCCTCACGCCCAGCGACCTGTCAGAGGGCCGAAGTCAACTTCCTGCTGCTAATCAGCCGCGGCGGCAGTCGAAATGCCGCGGTTGTCGAAACGAAGCGCATCAGATTTAGCAGAAATGAGGGCCTGTGGTGACGAGGGCGACCCCAGCGAGCGCAGTGTCGTCCAGTTTGCCACCCGCATGATGTACATAGGCGAGTCTGGAGTACAGTGGCCGATAGTCGTGATGCGCATCGGCTGCCTGGAGACTTCATGCTCTGTGACCTACTGCACCGAGGCCGACGAGTTCGAGGGCATAAAGTACGAAGCCATACACAAGACCAAGCTTGAATTCGCGCCTGGAGAATCGTTTAAGACGATACACTTGCAGTTGCGCGAGAACGCCTCGTACGACAACGTGATAGAGGCACAGCTTTTTCTGGACGACCCAGAACGTTGCACCCTTGGCATGGAGTTGCATAGGATGCGTGTGAAGATCATTGACGACGACGTGTTCCCTGATAACAAGTTCAAGGAACAACTTGAAAAGGACCACACGACAGACTCCTGGAGGAGTGGCCAGGACTTCGCCATGGTGATGGCCTTCGCGAAGATGGCATTCCTGGCGACAATGCCTGGGTCATTAAAGGCTGTGCTGGCGGACCAGATCACCAATCTGATATACATATCCACGCTTGCGATCAACAAAGCTTTGATCACGACCCTTGCTGCCAGCGTGAGCGAGGAGATTAGTCGTGGCTGGCAAGTTCTGCTCGCCTACGCTCTGTGTCTCACGCTGCCGTTCCTGATAGAGCATTACCTATCTTATCGGCGGCAGTTCTGGCAAATCGGTGGAGGTGCCCGGAAGTTGTTATTGCACGGCTTGATGGAAAAATATATGTACTACCAAGAATCGACCCGGGACCTCATAGATTTAAGTGAGTTCAAGCTGACTTTCTCGGAGGATGCCTTTCATTTGGTCGACAAAGGTTTCATGCAGTTGTTTGCCCTGGTGGCGGACATCAGCAGGATCGTGATGGTCTGCCTTTTCGTTGTCGTGCTCGCCTGCCTCGAGTACGCAAACTCTGGCGACACGTTTATCTTCTTTGCTCTCGCCCCCATGCTCGCAGTGCCGCCCGTGATGGTCTTCTACGTTCGGATGAGGTGGAAGCGTGCCGAAGATGTGCGGGAGGACGTCTTGGACGCAAAGCTCAGCCTTCTTGACTTCATGAATACTAGCGTTGAGCACATCTGCATGATCACCTCGTTTCTTGCGCGTCCGCTGGTCATGGCACAGTGCAATGACAGGATCGAGGTGCTCAACCAGCATCTCGTGATCGATGGATCGAGGAACGCGAATGACATGGCGTTCTTCAGCTACGTAGATAAAGTTCTGCAGTTTCTGATCGTCTTCTTCGGCGGCCTCTCCGTGGTTTACTCGGGCGTCGATCTGGGCACTTTCACGGCGGCCCTCAGTGCCTTCATGGGGAGCTCCGCCCTGTACCGGAAAGTCTACACCTGCTTGAAGGACCTGGTGTGGACAAAAACGGCCCTGGCTTCTGAGGGGTTCCAGAAAGGGCCCCGCTTTCGATGATCGAGTGAGCTGACATCTTCTTCTCTGCTGAAGGCGGCGTGAGCTGGCGGAAGAAAAACGAGGGCGGTTCCGCCGGCGGACCGAAAAGTCGGCCCTCCAAGAGATGCACACGTTTTTGGCTTCAGGGCGTCTGGAGCGGGCCGGGTGACCCCAGGGTGGTCCCAGACTGCCCAGAGGTTACTGGGCCACCCGGGGCCAGGGGCCCCGCACGTCAGCGCTCGACAGGTGATCGAATCCTCCTACCCGTGCTGCTGGCACGTGGTCGAGTACATGAACAACCCCACTGACTTGCCCCACAGGCAGGTGCTGGGGCACCGCGTCATGGAGGAGTTCCAGGCCCGCCTCCGCGACCTCGCTGCGAGGGCCTGCCCAGGGCAGGGGCAGCCGGTGGACATGGTGGACATCACCGTCGAGAACGTCAAGTTCTGCTACTCCGGGGCGTCCTCGCCGATCGACTGGGGCACCCAGGGCATGTCCATGAGGATCGGCCAGGGGCAGCTTGTCGCCATCACCGGCGCCCCCGTGTTCGGCTCCAAGACCCTGACGAGGCTTCTGGCCGGCGAGTTGCTGCCGACCGAGGGGCACGTCTTCGTGCCCCCCCACCTGCGCGTCCTGCGCGTCGCGATCAGGCCGGTCCTCTGGGACGGGCCCCTGGCGATGAACCTGTTCTGGGGGCTGATGCCGCAGCAGGGGTATTCAGGGGAGGGCGAGTGGGGACAACAGTAGTTGGCCTTCAGGGGGGGGGAGCCCTCGTTGGCTCAAGGATCGATTCCCCCTCCCCCGCGAAACTCGCAGGGATCCTCAGCGAGCATTCCTTTAGTCAGAGATGAATTGTACACAAGTCTGTCGTAATTCTTCACTCGAAAGGATGCCTTTCACCAAGGGATCCTGAGTGGTTCGTTTTAGGGGGTATCCTTCATGAAGATGCCTTTAGTGCGCATTCGTGAATAAGCACCCCTTTCAATGAGTGTTTCCTTTGGTAAGGGCCCGCTGGTTGTGATGTCTTTGGCAATGGACCCTTAGTAGGGATGCTTTTCGTAAGGCTTCCTTAGGGAGGATTCAAATAGTAAGTGTCCTCTCGGGAAGGACCATTGTGGCAACAACCCCTTCCCATTACTCCCTTGTGTAATGGCTCATTTGAAGTTCAGCTTCCGGAGTAAGGATACCTTCTTCTTATCAAAGAATCCTTAATACTGGTGCTTGTAGTGATAATGAGGCTTCATTCGTGGAGATGCCTTAAATATGGATCCCCTCTGTTGGGACGCCCTGTAGGAACGACTCCTTTGTAATACTTCCTTTATTGTAAGGGTCCCTTACTATTGATGCCTTCTGCAAGGGGTCCTGAGTAGGGATCCATTTGGTAAGGACTCTTCAGTCAGAAATTATTGCAGTGTAGGGTAGTGGTGGTGGTAGGGGCAGCAGAACATCAACAAACTAGTGCCAAATTGTGTGGCTACTTTTTTTCTCCCAACCATCCTGTGGTGCTGGGTCCTCGTTTTGAAGAGAGCGCCCCGCGTTCACTCCTCACTCCTCTTCTCCCTCCTCACTCCTCCGATCCCTGCCTCTGCCCTCCGCATGTTACTGTTTCGGCACACCTCTCCCACGTTTCGTGGCCCCATAGGGGAGCTCCACCGAAGGCACTAGTTGCACAGTCCACGTGCGTCCCACAGCCCCATTTCGGCACACCATTCACACGCCTCGTGTCCCCCATAGGGAGCTCCACCGAAGGTTCTAGTGGCACAGTCCACATGCGTCCCACAGCCCCATTTCGGCACAACCCTCACACGCTTCGTGGCCCCACGGGGAGCTCCACCGAAGGTCCCAGTGACACAGTCCACATGCGTCCCACAGCCCCATTTCGGCACAGCCCTCACACGCTTCGTGCCCCCATAGGGAGCTCCACCGTAGACCCCAAAGGCACCCCTCGCACGCTTCGTGGCCCCATAGGAGGCTCCAGCGAAGGCCACAGGGGCACAGTCCACATGCGCCCCGCCGCCCCATTTCGGCACACCCTCGCACGCTTCGTGCTCAAATAGGGGGCTCCAACGTAGGCCTCAGTGGCACAGTCTACATGCATCCGCCCCATTTCGGCACACCCCTCAGATGGTTTGTGCCCCCATATATCGGCGCTACGAAAATTTGACCCGTTTCGTGCTTCCACCAAGACACGTCTTAGGCGCGAGCGCCGTTGCGCATTCGAGCTGAAGCTGTGCCGGCCTCTGCTTTCGAGGAAGTCCTGGGCGGGTGCGCCATTCCGAAATCGAACCAAAGGGTGTCGAATTCCAGTTTTCAGGGAGTCCTTCGCGGGAGCGCCACTTCGAAATCGAACCCGGAAAGCCCCGAATTTCGTTTCGGGGGGGGTCTTGGGCGGGAGTGCCATTTCGAAATCGAACCAGACATGTTTCGAATTCTAGTTTGGAGGAAGTCTTGGGCGGGAGCGCCATTTCGAAGTCGAGCCCGAAAGTGTTGGAATCGTTCGGAAACGCTTGTTTGAGGAAGTCTCAAGCGAAACCGTCGTTTCGAAACGGCCACACCGTATGGCATTCTAAATTTCAAATGTTTGACAAGAGATCTCGAAAGTGTGGTTTTCGCTTGAGACTTCCTCCCAAAAGCAGTTTCGAACGATTTCGAAACCTTCGGGCTCGATTTCGAGGTGGCTCCCCCGCCCAAGACTTCCTTCAAGAAACAATCTCGACGGGATTTCGAGGGCGCCTCCGCCCGAGATTTGAGCGAAACAACGCTCGAGCAGAACATCATTGTCCTGAGGCCCCGCGGCCTAACGGGCCCCTCTGGCGTCTCCTCCTTTGTCGCGGGCGCAGCGCCACTGACGGCGTCGTACCTGGGGCCCCTTCGCATTCCAGTGGTGCTCTCCGCTGGTGTCTCGAAGGTAATTCCAGTGCTGCTCTCCGCTGGTGTCTGGAAGCTTGTGGTAGCACACGTGGCACAAAAAAAAAGTACCGGGGGCCCCTTCACCCTACGGGAGGCATTGCATTTTGGCCGAACTTTCGTAGTAGCGAAGTCAGGAGCCCCACGCCCCACTGTAGGCCCCCGTGGCACGGTCCGCATGCGTCCCACCGCCCCATGTCGGCACACCCTGCACACGCTGCGCGCGCCCCCATAGGAGGAGCTTCACCGAAGGCCCCACAGGCACAGTCCACATGCGTCCCACCACCCAATTTCGGCACACCCCTTTACACGCTTCGTGCCCCCATAGGGAGCTCCACCAAAGGCCCCGGTGGCGCAGTCCACATGCGCCCAACCGTCGAAATTTCGGCACACCCTTCACACGTGTCATGTCCCCATAGGGAGCTTCACCGAAGGTCCTAGTGGCAGGGTTCGCATTCGGTTCCCCGCCCATGTCGGCACACCTCTCATACGTTTCGTGCCCCCATATGGGAGCTCCACCGAAGGTCCCAGTAGGGCAGTTCGCCCGCGTCCCCGCCCCCAGTTCTGGTACACCCCTCACACGCTTCGTGGCCCCATATGGAAGCTCCAGCGAAGCCTCAGTGACACAGTCATGCGTCCCACCGCCCCATTTCGGCACACCCCTCACACGCTTCGTGCCCCTTATATGGGGGCTCTAACGAAAGCCTCAGTGACACAGTCCACATGCGTCCCACCGCCCCATGTCGGCACACCCTTTACACGTTTCGTGCCCCCAGAAGGAGCTCCACCAAAGGCCCCAGTGGCACAGCCCACAGACGTCCCATCGCCCCATGTCGGCACACCCTTCACACGTGTCGTGCCCCCATAGGGAGCTTCACCGAAGGTCCTAGTGGCAGGGTTCGCATTCGGTTCCCCGCCCAAGTCGGCACACTCCTCGTACGTCTCGTGCCCCCATATGGGAGCTCCACCGAAGGTCCCAGCAGTGCAATGTGCATGCGTCCCCGCCCCCAGTTCCGGTACACCCCTCACTCGCTTTGTGGCCCCATGTGGGAGCTCCACCTAAGGTCACAGTTGCGCAGTTCGCATGCGTCTCCGCCACCCATCTGGGCACACCCCTCACGCGCTTCGAGGCCCCATAGGGAGTTCCACCGAAGGCCCCAGTGGGACAGTTCGCATGCGTTCACGCTTCGTGGCCCCACCGGGAGCCCCACCGAAGGTCCCAGAGGGGCAGTTCGCATGCGTCCCCGCCGCCAATGTCGACACCCCTCCCGTGCTTCGTGCCCCCATCGGGAGCTCCACCGACGGTCCCAGCGGCGCAGCCTGCAAGCGTCGGCCCCGCCCGTTGCGGCACGCCCACGTCGGCGAAAAAAGCAGAAAGGGAAGGCGACGGAGGCAAAACGGCGGGGCCTGGGGCACGGGCCGCTACGCGCAACGGAGACGAGGGCGGCCGCAGGAGCTGGGACGGGACGTTCCCCATGACTTTCGCCCCGAGGAGGAGGAGGAGGAGGAGGAGGAGGAGGAGGAGGAGGAGGAGGAGGAGGAGGAGGAGGAGGAGGAGAGAAGGAGCAGGAGGAGGAGGAGGAGGAGGAGGAGGAGGAGGAGGAGGAGGAGGAGGAGGAGGAGGAGGAGGAGGAGGAGGAGGAGAGCGGAGGAGGAGGGCGGAGGAGGAGGGGGCCCCAGTGGCCGCACCCGCACGGCGGCCCCGGGCCCCATGCCGGCACCACCGGCCCCCGAACGCTGCTTGGCCCCACCGGGGCTCCACCTGCGGCCCCGTTGGCAGCGCCCGCACGGCGTCGACCCGCCGAACGGCGACGCGCACGGTCGCGCGCGCCGAAGGCACTCTGGAAGTGCCTTCGGGGCGTCGCAGGGGCGACAAAAAAATGTAGGCGTTTGCGTGCCAGTGGATTCGTTTTTGCGGAGTTGGGCGCCCTGGCGCGGACGGCCGAACGACCCCTGCAGCGGGACACCCTGGCCATACGGTCGCCGCCGCAAAAATTGCCCGTTCAAGGCTGGCGCCGCGCAAAGGAGGCGCCGAACGGCGACGCTCGTGGCCCCAGAGGGTCCTCCAGAGGCGAGGCTCACAGCGAGGGTAGCCAGAACTGCATGCGGTTGGGTCCCTCTCCAGGCCAGTACTTTTCCCCCAGTGGCCAGCACGACCACTGGACCGGGACTGCGGGAGTGGGTGCGATCTCCGCTGGGAGACAGGTCCAACGTCGGTTGCATGTGCCCATTTGAAAGGGATCTTCACTGAGCATTCCTGTAGTGAGGGATGCTGAGTACAGGTTTCTGCTGTAATCAGCCATTCGAAACGATACCTTTTGTCAAGGCGTCCTTGACACATGATCCATGTAGTGGGGGGTCTTCAATAAGGCTGCCTTTTAGAAAGCGTTCGATAAGAAGTGGCCTTCATCAAAGGGTTCTGAACTATTCAGAGTGCCTTCAATGAGGAGTCCTTAGCGCGGATGATTTAGTAAGGATCCCCTCAGTAAGGATCCCTTTAGTAAGGGTGCGTTGCCCATGTTTCCTTTCGTTGTGGGTCCTTGTTATGGATTATCTTAAGCAAAAGATCCTTAGTAAGGATGCTGTTAGTAAGGCCTCCTTCCTGATGGTGCCTTCAGTCATGGTCCCCTCCGTAAGGGCCCTTCTAGCAAGGACTCCTTAGTACTTCCTTGAGTCATGGTTCCCTAAGAAGTAAGCGGAATCCTGGGTAATGGTATTGTTTTGGGGGTGCAGAAGTTGTTAGTGATGCGTTTTTCGTGGGGATGCTTTTTGTTCGAATCCCCTCAGTAAGGGCCCTCCTGTAGCAAGGACTCCTTAGTAACAATTCCTTGAGTAAGGACTTTTTGATGCGGATGCCTTGAGATCCCTTCAGTGAGGAGTCCACTGTGAGGATGCCTTTAGAAAGAATCCCTTCATAAATAATCACTGTAGTCAAATTCACTGATCATGCTTCCTTTCGTAGTGGGTCCTTGGTAATAGTCAGGGATCCTTGGTAAGGATGCTGTTAGTAAGGCCTCTCTTGCATGCCTTTAGTAAAAGTCCCTATGAATGATCCCTGTAGTAAGGACTCCTTACCACGATTTCCTTGGGTACTGGCTCCGTAAGAAGGATGCGAGTTCCTGAATAAGGATACCTTTGATTTGTGCGTATACTTCTAGTGATGCCTCCTTAGTGGGGGGGCCTTTTGTACGTAAGCCCTCCCCTGTAGTACTAAGGACTTCTTGGTCACATGTCATTTTGCACGGATTTCTTACTACAGGTGCCGTAAGTACGGGGTCCTGAGTATGGATATCTTTAGCAATGATTCCTTAGGCAAGGCACCTGGCGTGTTGGGGGGGACACTACAAAAATATTAGCTCCCTACCTAGGCTCTGCCTAGAAGGGTTCTTACCCTCTGGGCTTAAAGGGCCGGGCAGTGGGCCTCGCCCCGGGCGGTTCCCCCAGTTACGTCCCCTTAGCTTAGCGTTGCTTATCTCATCTTAGCTTAGCCTAGCTTAATTTAGCTTAGCTTAGCCTAGCCTAGCCTGGGTTAGCTTAACTTAGCTTAGCCCAGCTTAGCTTAGCGCAGCGCAGCATTAGCATAGCATAGCATAGCATATCATAGCATAGCATATCATAGCATAGCGCAGCATAGCATATCATAGCATATCATAGCATAGCAAAGCGCAGCATAGCATAGCATAACATAGCATATCATAGCGTATCGCAGCTTACCTTTAGCACAGCAGAGCATAGCATACAATAGCACAGCACAGCAGAGCATAGCATAGCATATCTTAGCTTAGCCTACCTTCATCTTAGCTTCGCTGAGCTTTAGCATCAGCATATCATAACATATCGTAGCATAGCATAGCGCAGCACAGCATATCATAACATAGCCCAGCATAACATAGCATGGCGCAGCATAGCATAGCATAGCATAGCATAGCATAGCATAGCGCAGCACAGCACAGCATAGCATAGCACAGCGCAGCATAGCATAGCGCAGCATAGCACAGCATAGCATAGCATAGCGCAGCATAGCATAGCATAGCATAGCATAGCATAGCATAGCATAGCATAGCATAGCATAGCATAGCGCAGCATAGCATGGCATAGCATAGCATAGCATAGCATAGCAACTAATGCTGCTTTCCTAGGGGCTCCAACTTCTAGGTAGGGTCGCACTGGGGTAATTTGTTGTTGTGTTTCCCCCCCCCCCCCCCCTGCTTCCCCGAACCGCCAAGCATCACTGCTTTGGGACTGGGGTCGCGCTGGAGTGCTTCGGCCGAGGAACCGAAGACGAGACTACCGCCTGGCGAATTTCCTGGGGTGGGGTCGCCGCGCTTGCCCAGCCCGAGGGAGGGACGGAGGGAGACGGTCGCAGTGGGGGGATGCGACCCTGGAACCGCCCCCGTCGCCACGGCCCAGTGCAGCTCGGGAAACTGGTGCGTTTGGACCCCAGGAGGCCCTTAAGGCAGCTTTGAAATCTGGCGCGCTTGGATCTCGGGAGGGGTCCGAGGATGGATGCTGAGCTGCCGCTGTCTCCACTCGCCCCGCTCCGAGAGGTACACGGGCCTGATGCGCCTGGAGGGCTACCGGAAGCTGCCGGACGGGGAGATCCAGCGCGGGCTCCAGATCTGCAGGCGTCGGGGCCGGACAGAACCCCCAATCGTGACACGTCGATTAGTGAATTGTCCGTTTTCGGTTCTCGAGAGGGCGCCGCGGCCGTCAGTTTCCAGGCTTTCGCCCGCCAGATTTGGGCCCGAGGTCGTTTTCACTAGACCACGTTTTGCTAAAGGGGGTTCTGTCCATCCCCGAAGGCGGCTGGACGTGCCTGAGCACCTGATCCAGAAGATCCAGGACGACGTCTGTGGTTCGCCCGGCCCGCTGGGGATGCCGAACCCAGGTCTCCGAGGTACATCATGCGGCGCCAGCGGCAGGGTTCGCACGGCGGCCTCTGGCCATTCCGGCACACCGCTCACGAGGATCGTGGCCCCACAGGGAGCTCCACCGCAGGCCCCAGTTGCAGGGTCTCCGAGGTACACCATTTTTTCCGACGGGCGCCGTGTCTTCAACCTCAGCCCCAGAGGGCCGTGTTCGGGCCCCCGGGCCATCGGAAGTGGACCGGGGACGAGAGGCTACCTAGCCCTGATTCGGGCCGAAGAAGAAACGACGACATCAACTTTTGATTCCCAACCATCATGTGGTGCTGGGTCCTCGTTTTGAAGAGACGGTGCCCCGCGTCTCTCCTCCTTCCTTCCTTCCTCCTCCCCCTCCTCCCTCCTCCCTCCTCCCTCCTCCCCCTCCTCCCGACATCAACTTCTGATCTTTGGAGGTCCGCGCGCCTTTGTTTGATCGGCGCCCAACGCGGAGCGGGCCAGGGAGGGAGGTCTCCAGCGCCGATCCAGGAAGTCCGCGCGGACCTGTGAGAGTTTCTGTTCATGCCGCTTGATGCTCCTCCTCCTCCTCCTCCTCCTCCTCCTCCATCCTCCTCCTCCTCCTCCTCCTCCTCCCCCTCCTCCTCCTCCTCCTCCTCCTCCTCCTCCTCCTCCTCCTCCTCCACTTGAGGCGATGCTGCGGCCGACGCCTCAGAGGCCAAGCAGAACAGCGAACTGCTCCTGGCGAGCATCCCGGCCAGCGCGCGCTGCAAGATCCAGTTGGCCTGCGCCCTGATCTGCGACCCTGCGGTGCTGGTGCTTGACAGGCCCTTCCAGAGCCTCACCGTTGCCGACGCGTCCAGGGTGATGGAGCTCAGGGGCAACGTGAGGGGGAGATAGGTTCCCAGGAGGGGGAGGTTCGAGGTTCGAGGCTTTCGGGCGCTTTCCTCGGCTCTCGGCGGCTCTCCGGGCGCTGTCCCTCAGGAGTGCCTGCGGGAGTACGTGGACAGGAAGGGCCTGGAGAGGGACGAGGTCGGAAGCTGGAGCACATACACCAATCACCAGTGGCGGGCTGCGTTTCCGCCCCAAGACTTTCTGAGGGTCGGGGACGGCGTCGGGGTGGTGTGGTGTATATACTTGCTGCTGCCCGCTTCCCAGGGAGCAGCGACAAATGTATACACCAGGGCCCCGTACCCAGACCCCCGACGTCATGATTTTTTCATTACGTCGACCCCAGAGTTCTCGACCCCTTCCCCAGGACCGGTTTGTCCTCCTGAGTCGTTTTTTGACGCTCCCGAGGCCAGGCGAGGGCCCCCCGAGGCCGAAAACGGCGAAAAACCTCCCGCCGTGATTTTTTCACTGCTCGAGGGGGTCTGGGTATGCACCAGGATCCGCTGCCCTGTGCAAACTTCAGCGAAAGGGGCCGGAGACGGCGTCGGTGCATACAGAGTCCGGTGCCCCCTTCGAGGCCCACCTGCGGGGGCGCCGGCCCCGCACCTGCATCCTGACGAGCAACTCCTCGATGCTGCTGGCCGGGGCGGACGAGGTCTTCAACGTCGGCGAGGACTCGTCGCTCCTCGGGGCGCACGGGACGGGGGCCAGCCCTCAGACCCAGACCTCCTCGAGTCATGAAAAAATCACGACGGGAGGTTTTTCGCCATTTTCGGCCTCGGGGGGCCCTCGCCGGGCCTCGGGAGCGTCAAAAAACGCCTCGGGATGACGAACCGGTCCTGGGGAAGGGGTCGATAACTCTGGGGTCGACGTAATGAAAAATTCATTACGTCGGGGGTCTGGGCTCGGGGCTCACGGGACGGGGGCCAGTCCTCAGATCCTGGCGCTGCGGTTCTTTCACGACGGGCGTGCTCGCCCGGCTTCGGGCCAGGAGGACCCTCACAGATCGGGCCGGCTCGAAAAGTGACGCAGAAAGATGGGATCTGGGGCCCCTCTCGTGATACTCTGCGCTGTCGCACTTGTTTCGCAGCGTCGAATCTCTCAGGGAATGCACGCGGGGGTCAGCCAGGGCGCCGGACCTTGCGCAGGATCCTGCAGAGCCAGTGCTGCATTGTGCCTGGGCTTGCGCGCAGGGTCCTGCAAGTGACGAGCGTTCATCACGCACCCATGCCCATAGGGGGGACGGAATGAGCTATGGGGGCGTGTTGTCGGATGGGGGATCCCCGCTCGAACGGGAGCCCCCCCAGGGGTCCGACGACCCGCACCCATACCCATAGCCAGTCCTTCTCCCTCCGACCTCCCTATGGGTATGGGTGCGCGTGTTGTTCGTTCATCAGCAAGGCCGCACTGACCCGGGTCTGCACGGGCACGGGGCCACTGCGTCCCCGGGCGCGGGCACGGGCACTCCGGCGTTCCTTCGGCCGTTCTCCCGGGGCCGTGCGTCCCCGAGTTGAGACGCGTGCCAGCTCGAGGCGTCCCCAGAGATCCGACGCATTGAGAAGATCAAGACGGAGGTTTTTCGCGAATCTCGGCCCCTGGGGGCCCTCGCTGGGCCTCGGGGCCGTCAAAAAACGACTCACGATGAAAAAGCGGTCCTGGGGAATGGGTCGAGACTTCCGGGGACCCCGTATGGAAAAAATCACGGCATCGGATCTCTGGGTCCATGGGTCTCAGCTGGTCTTCCGCCGGCTCTCGGGCCATGGATCCCCCGACCCCCCGACTCGTGATTTTTGCACAGCGTCGACCCCCAGAGTCGGGTCGGGCGAAAGGGGGGGATTGGGAAAGGGGGGGTTACGAAATCTGCTGCATGCAGCTGGTTTCGGCCTCGCCGCCGGGCCCATTCCTCGATACATGGGCGCCTCCCGGCGCCGGGAGGCGCCGGGAAAATCGGCTACGTGAGCTGATTCTCAAACCCCCCCTTTGCTATCCCCCCCTTTCGCCCGACCCGACAGAGGTCTGGACCCCTTCCCTGGGACCGGCTTCTCGTCCCGAGTCGTCTCTTGACGGTCCCGTTGCCCAGGAAGGGCCCCCCCGGAGGCTGAGAGTGGCGGAAGCCATCCCGCCGTGGCGCATCGCGAGGAGGTCTGGGTCCCTTACCCAGGGGATCCTTGTCCACCGCCCACCCGTCGGAAGAAATTGCACGAGCACAGACTTTCGACGTAAGGATTTTTTCATCACGTCGACCCCAGAGTTCTCGACCCCTTCCCCAGGACCGGTTTGTGATCCCGAGTCGTCTTTTGACGCTCCCGAGGCCCGGCGAGGGCCCCCCGAGGCCGAAAACGGCGAAACACCTCCCGTCATGATTTTTTCATTACTCGAGGGGGTCTGGGCGTATACACCAGGATCCGCTGCCCTGTGCAAACTTCAAGCGCAGGGGCGGAGACTGCTCCTCTCCTCCTCCTCCTCCTCCTCCTCCTCCTCCTCCTCCTCCTCCTCCTCCTCCTCCTCCTCCTCCTCGAGGGGGTCTGGGTACCCAGGGGATCCTTGTCCACTGCCCCACCCGCCGGAAGACATTGCACGAGCACAGACTTCCGGAGCTCCGCACGGGCGGAGGAGGAGGAGGAGGAGGAGGGGGCGGAGGAGGAGGAGGAGGAGGAGGAGGAGGGAGGAGGGAGGGGGAGGAGGAGGAGGAGGAGGAGAGGAGGAGAGGGAGGAGGAGGAGGAGGAGGAGGAGGAGGATTGGATCTGCGCTCCGGCCTCCCGGCCGGCAGGCGCCTCCGGCGCCGCCACGGCGCGCGGAGCGGGCACGGGAGGGAAGTCCAGCGCCGATGCAAGAGATCCGCGCGGGCCTGCACGAGTTTGTGCTCATGCAGTTCTTTGGGCTTCCTCCTCCTCCTCCTCCTCCTCCTCCTCCTCCTCCTCCTCCTCTCCTCCTCCTCCTCCTCCTCTCCTCCTCCTCCTCCTCCTCCTCCTCCTCCTCCTCCTCCTCCTCCTCCTCCTCCTCCTTCCTCTCCCCTCCTCCCCCTCCCCCTCCCCCTCCCCCTCCCCCTCCCCCTCCCCCTCCCCCTCCCCCTCCCCCTCCCCCTTCAGGACCATACCATCCAGGTGACGTCCAACACGGAGAATCTGCTGGGGGAGGCGGGGAAGATGATCCAGAACGAGGAGGAGCACGTCGTGAGGTGCAAGTCTCTGAGCCGGCAGAAGTCCGCGACGTTGATGCCTCGGTCGAACTCTAGGGCGGAGATCGTTCTGCTCGACAGCCCACGACCGGAACCTGAGAGTGGGACACCGTGCGACGACGCACCGACGCTGGATGACTCCCCGACCATCTGAGCAGCGGGTGAAGAGGAGGTGGAGGCTGGGGGTTGTTGATGGGGGGGCTTGGAGGAAGTGCTGGAGGCGTCATTGGCAACGATGCCCAGGCCGCACTCTTGCCTCCAAAATGGCGGCAAGGAACCTCTACTGTATGATCATGGCGCTCCGTCCAGTGCAAAGGAGCGTGCCACGGCGATGGTATAAGGGTGTGTGTGTGTGTGCTCGGCGCAAACGATACACTCCCTCGCCAACGATGGCTCACGTTCTTCATTCGTGAAAATCGAAGTTGATCGAAGCGATCGCCGCGTCTGTTGGCACCCTCCTTCCCTGCCTCCTCTTCCTTTCTCCTCCCCCCGTCCGCTAATTCGAGAGCGCTGGATGTTCGGTGGTGCTCTGGTCTGGCCTGCTAGTTCTTTTCAACTATCTTGGCAGTGTCGTCGAGCGCGTCGTCCTCACCAGGCGGCGCGCATCGGTGGGCTACCTTCCTGGGGCCACAGCTGAACTGAGGGGACGGTGCCTGGAATGGTGGCTGGATCGAAACAGATGGCTACCCCGACGCAGCAGAACATCTTAGCGCCCGGTGCGGTCAGTTGAAATGGCTCGCTTCTAGACTCTGTCCGCGCTGTTGCTGTGCTATGTTTGTCTTTCGCTGTGTCATTGAAGCGCGTTTCCGTATGTTTTCCGATCGTCTGGCCTTTGTACCCTGTCCGCGACCCGCGCGAATTTCTCGTCGGATCAGCATCTGTTTTCGCACGAGCTTGTAGTCTGAATGTAGGGGGGAATGTCAGGATAAATTGGCCCAGAAACAACATTCATTGTACGAATCTGGCCCGTAACGTATCATCAGCCAGCGGTAAACGTCTGGGGATACAGATAGCGAGGTGGACCAGGGCACGACGCAACGGAAGCCAACTAGCTGGCACAGATGCCGCACTGCCACAATACCGTAGGAGGGGGATGATACTGATTAGGACGAGGATGGGGTTGAGGACAATGATGACGATACTGAGGCTGATGCTGATGCTGACGAGGACGAGGATGAGGATGATGATGATGATGATGATGATGATGATGATGATGATGATGATGGTGATGAGGATGAGGATGAGGATGAGATGGTGAGGATGAGATGATGATGATGATGATGATGATGATGGTGGTGATGATGATGATGGTCATGATGATGCTGATGCTTATGCTGATGATAATGGTGATGGTGATGGTGATATAATGGTGATAATGCTGATGGTGATGATGCTGATGGTGGTGGTGTTGTTGATGATACGATGATGATGGTGCTGGTGATGATGATGGTGATGATGCTGATTATGGTGCTGATGCTGATGCTGTTGCAGATGTTGATGCATGAGCTGATGATGGTGATGAGGATGATTATGATGATGGTGGTGATGATGCTGGTGGTCATGATGATGACGCTGGTGATGATGATGATGATGATGATGATGATGATGATGATGATGATGATGATGCTGATGCTGATGATGATGATAATAATGATGATTATGTTGATGATATGATGATGCTGATGATGATGCTGCTGATGCTGATGCTGATGATGCTGCTGATGCTGCTGATGCTGATGCATATTCTGCTGATAATGATGATGGTAATAATAATGATGATCATACTGATGATGTTGATGAGGATAATTATGATGAGTATGCTGATGCTGCTGATGACGATGCTGCTGATGCTGCTAATGATGAGGAGGAGGAGGGGGAAGAGGAGGAGGAGGAGGACGACGACGAGGACGTGAGGTAATATGGCTCAGGGGCGTCTTAACCGTGTTAGTGCGCCCAGTTTCCTGGTGGCACTACCCTGGAGGGCACGGTGGCCCCATTGCATGCCAGAGCATGCCAATGTATGCTGATGCACGCCAGTGCATTCCAATGCATGCCAAAGCATGCCAATGCATGCCAATGCATGTCGATGCATGCCAAAGCTTATCAAAACATGTCAAAGCGAGCGCAAGCATGCCATAGCAATCCAAACCAAGCCAATGCAAGCCAATGCATGCCAAAGCATTCCAATGCATGCCAATGCATGCCAGAGGAGGAGGAGGAGGAGGAGGAGGAGGAGGAGGAGGAGGAGGAGGAACAGAAGGAGGAGGAGGAGGAGGATGTGGAGAAGGAGGAGGAGGAGGAGGAGGAGGAGGAGGAGGAGGGGGAGGAGGAGGTCCCTGAAAGGCCTCCAGCTTGACGATGGGGCCGCGAGATGTTCCTGGAGGTGGCCTCAACAAATCGCCGCTCCTGCAGTCGTCGCCGCGACCTTGGCATGGACGGGCGCTCACACGCCCGACCCTGGTGGCCTGGTGGCCATCTGGCCTCGATGACGCATGTACTGGGGCCGCGGATGCAGCAGGAGTATGACCAGAAAGAGGAGGAGGAGGAGGAGGACGAGGACGAGGAGGGCGACGAGGAGGAGGACGAGGAGGAGGAGAAGGAGGACGAGGACGAGGAGGAGGAGGACGAGGACGAGGATTAGGTGTAGGAGGAGGAGGAGCAGGAGGAGGAGGAGGAGGAGGAGGAGGAGGAGGAGGAGGAAGGGATGAAGAGTATCAGGACAGCGGCCACAACGAAGGGCGACCGACTGTAGCACCACAGCGACAGCCACAGCGAGCACGACAGCGATCGGCAACGCCACGCGCAGCAGCGCCGGCGCAGCGAGGCGCAACAGCAGCGCAGCAGCAGCACTAGCAGCAGCACCTCAGCGACCACAGCGACGACAACGACCGACGCCCCCGCCCGCCGCCCCCCTCCACACTTCCCTGATGGGTATCACCCCCTGCCCACGGATATCGAAATACCTGCGATGGCCTGTATGCTCTGAGTGATCGGCTGCACGGTGCGTGAGACCCGATGCCCCGCTTCTGAAGTGTAGCAATCGGTGTTCGTCCATCAGCAGGACGCAAGGCGGAGTATTTTTATGTTTGGTATTGTTGTTATTATTATTCTTGTGTTTATTCACCTGCTTCTTCTTATTGCTATGATTATTCATCTTAGTCCTCCTCCTCCTCCTCCACCTCCTCCTCCTCCTTCTCCTCCGCGCACACCGCATTCCTCCCCCTCGTCCTCTTCCATTCCGTTTTCAAATCTAATCTCGTATCAGCCATTCCTCCCTCTCGCGCTCTGAGGCGTGTTGGTAGGGCGGCCAGGCGGCCCGCTTGAGATTTCATCACAAAAGATAGTCCTCAAGCTGAAAATTTGCAAGAGCTTCACGGATGGAGGGCGGGCCGTTTTCAAAATGTGGCTCTCGCCGTAGTGTCGCGCACATTGGTTTTAAAGGTTTGCAGGAGCTTCACGGATGGAGGGTGCGCCGTTTTCAAAAGGGAGTTCTCGCCTTAGCGCCGCGCGCATTCCTTTTCAATATTTGGAAGAGCTTCGCGGACGGAGGGCAGACCGTTTTCAAAATGTGGTTCTCGCCTCAGCGCCGCGCACATTCGCTTAAACCGATTTGAAAGAGTTTCACGGATGGAAGGCGGCTCCTTTTCAAAGTGTGGTTCTCGCCTCATCGCCGCGCGCATTCGATTTAAAGGCTCACAACCGTTCCAAGGATTCTCATGGTTGACGTCTTACGGTACTCTTGCACGTTGGCGGACTGTCAGGGCGCAACAGTTACGTCGATTCGCGGTGCTGAAGTCCCAGGGAAAGTGTTCGGGCGCGGCTCAGGATCGCCAAGACGCAACAATAATGGTGATTCGCGGCGTTGAAGTAAGTTCCAAGAACGGTGCTCTGGCGCAGTTCTAGATTTCCAAACGTTTGTCATTGTATCCCAACGAGGCACTTCCCCCAGTGAAAATGAATCCCTGTAGGGGCCTGTGAAGAGGGAAACTTGGAGGGACGGCTTGCTGCAGTGTCGCTGATGAATCTTGGGTTTGCGCTGGTCCTCCTCCTCCTCCTCCTCCTCCTCCTCCTCCTCCTCCTCCTCCTCCTCCTCCCCTCCGTCTCCCTTCTCCTCCTCCTCCTCCTCCTCCTCCTCCTCCTCCTCCTCCTCCTCCTCCTCCTCCTCCTCTTCCAGCCCCTTCGCCTTTCCTTATATAACCGGTGTTGGACTGGCTCGTCGGCGTGCCACCACGCCTCCGCGCGCACCTGCCGCAGGCTCCTGCACCCGCGGTGCCTGCCCGAGGCGACCCGTCGGAGGCCCCCGGGGGGCCTCGCCGCCTGGGGCCCGGGCCCCCCTCGCCCCGGCGGCTCTCCCGGGGCCCTCTGCAGCGGCCTCCGGGGGCCCCGCCCCGCGTGGGGGTGCCCCGCGGGGTCCTCCCCAGAGATCCACCCAGACCCCCTCGAGTAATGAAAAAATTATCCCGGCAAAGCAACCTAACAGCGATGTGTAGAAGCATATCTGAAAGCATTCCCTTAAGATTCAGATGAAAATCCAGTTGTAGAATTCTGCTGTTCTCGCAGTCGTAGTCGCATTCGCGATGACAGTCGCAGCGGCAACGGCAGTCGCAGTCACAACCTCAGCCTCAGCCTGCCTCAGCCTCAGCCTCAGCCTGCCTCAGCCTCAGCCTGCCTCAGCCTCAGCCTCAGCCTGCTTCAGCCTCAGCCTCAGTCTGCCTTCAGCCTCGGCCTCAGCCTCAGCCTGCCTCAGCCTCAGCCTGCATCAGCCTCAGCCTCAGCCTCAGCCTGCCTCAGCATCAGCCTGCTTCAGCCTCAGCCTCAGCCTACCTCAGCCTCAGCCTCAGCCTGCTTCAGCCTCAGCCTCAGTCTGCCTTCAGCCTCGGCCTCAGCCTCAGCCTGCCTCAGCCTCAGCCTGCCTCGGCCGCAGCATCAGCCTGCCTCAGCATTCAAAATGTGGCCCAGGAATGGAGTTCTGGGAACTAGAAGAACACGAAGTGGCCTACAGTTGGCTCCGGGCATTCAAAATCATGCCCAGGAATGGAGTTCTGGGAACTTGAAGAGCACGAAGTGGCCTACAGTTGGCTCCGGGCATCCAAAATGTGGCCCGGGAATGGAGTTCTGGGAACTCGAAGAGCACGAAGTGGCCTAGAGTTGGCTCCGGGCATCCAAAATGTGGCCCGGGAATGGAGTTCTGGGAACTCGAAGAGCACGAAGTGGCCTACAGTTGGCTCCGGGCATCCAAAAGGTGGCCCGGGAATGGAGTTCTGGGAAGTCGAAGAGCACGAAGTGGCCTACAGTTGGCTCCGGGCATCCAAAATGTGGCCCGGGAATGGAGTTCTGGGAAGTCGAAGAGCACGAAGTGGCCTACAGTTGGCTCCGGGCATTCAGAATGTGGCCCGGGAATGGAGTTCTGGGAGGTCGAAGAGCACGAAGTGTGTGACTGTTGGCTTAAAACGACTTCTGCGGCACCCTGTCCGGCACCCGCCCAGACCCCCCTGTGGAGTCATCTGCTGCTCTCTTTTGACCCTACTAGAAACCTATCAGCAAACGCTGTTAGGTAATCACAACACTATCCCTCCGACGCATCATCGTCCACCTTTTAGTCGTCCTCGGGGGCCCTCGCCGGGCCCACGCACACATTGAATTATCCCGGCAAAGCAACCTAACAGCGATGTGTAGAAGCATATCTGAAAGCATTCCCTTAAGATTCAGATGAAAATCCAGTTGTAGAATTCTGCTGTTCTCGCAGTCGTAGTCGCATTCGCGATGACAGTCGCAGCGGCAACGGCAGTCGCAGTCACAACCTCAGCCTCAGCCTGCCTCAGCCTCAGCCTCAGCCTGCCTCAGCCTCAGCCTGCCTCAGCCTCAGCCTCAGCCTGCTTCAGCCTCAGCCTCAGTCTGCCTTCAGCCTCGGCCTCAGCCTCAGCCTGCCTCAGCCTCAGCCTGCCTCAGCCTCAGCCTCAGCCTCAGCCTGCCTCAGCATCAGCCTGCTTCAGCCTCAGCCTCAGCCTACCTCAGCCTCAGCCTCAGCCTGCTTCAGCCTCAGCCTCAGTCTGCCTTCAGCCTCGGCCTCAGCCTCAGCCTGCCTCAGCCTCAGCCTGCCTCGGCCGCAGCATCAGCCTGCCTCAGCATTCAAAATGTGGCCCAGGAATGGAGTTCTGGGAACTAGAATAACACGAAGTGGCCTACAGTTGGCTCCGGGCATTCAAAATCATGCCCAGGAATGGAGTTCTGGGAACTAGAAGAGCACGAAGTGGCCTACAGTTGGCTCCGGGCATCCAAAATGTGGCCCCCGTGGGAATGGATACTCTCTGGGAATCGAAAGAGCAAAACACGAAGTGGGCTAGAGATTGGCTCCGGGCATTCCAAAATAATGTAGGCCCGGGAATGGAAGTTTCAGAGGGGAATCCCGAAAAGCACGGAAGTGGCCTACAGTGGACTCTGGGCATTTAAAATGTGCCTCAGCATTCAAAGGTTGGCCCGGGAATGGAGGTTCTGGGGACTCGAAGGAGCACGAAGTGGCCTACAGTTCTGGCGTCCGGGCATTCCAAAATGTGGCCCGGGAATGGAGTTCTCGGAAGTCGAAGAGCACGAAGTGGCCTACAGTTGGCTCCGGGCATCCAAAATGTGGCCCGGGAATGGAGTTCTGGGAGGTCGAAGAGCACGAAGTGTGTGACTGTTAGCTTAAAACGACTTCTGCGGCACCCTGTCGGGCACCCGCCCAGACCCCCCTGTGGAGTCATCTGCTGCTCTCTTTTGAGATTACTAGAAACCTATCAGTCTTCGCTGTTATGTAAAAACGACTCGGGAGGACAAACCGGCCCTGGGGAAGGGGTCGAGAACTCTGGGGTCGACGTAATGAAAAATTCATTGCGTCGGGGGTCTGGGCAGCGCACTGACAAAAATCGAGACGGAGGTCTGGCACACAGTTCGGCCCCCGGGGGGGGCCCTGGCCGGGCCTCGGGGACGTCAAGAGAGGACTCGGGACGAGAATCCCCAGACATGATGGCGTCGTAGAAAAATTATCCCGGCAAAGCAACCTAACAGCGATGTGTAGGAGCATATCTGGAAGCATTCCCCTTAATATTCAGATGAGAATCCAGTTGTAGAATTCTGCTGTTCTCGCAGTCGTAGTCGCATTCGCGATGACAGTCGCAGTGGCAACGGCAGTCACAGTCACAGCCTCAGCCTGCCTCAGCCTCAGCCTCAGCCTGCTTCAGCCTCAGCTTCAGTCTGCCTTCAGCCTCGGCGTCAGCCTCAGGCTGCCTCAGCCTCAGCCTGCATCAGCCTCAGCCTCAGCCTCAGCCTGCCTCAGCATCAGCCTGCCTCAGCCTCAGCCTCAGCCTGCCTCAGCCTCTACCTCAGCCTGCTTCAGCCTCAGCCTCAGTCTGCCTTCAGCCTCGGCCTCAGCCTCACCCTGCCTCAGCCTCAGCCTGCCTCAGCCTCAGCATCAGCCTGCCTCAGCATTCAAAGTGTGGCCCGGGAATGGAGTTCTGGGAACTCGAAGAACACGAAGTGGCCTACAGTTGGCTCCGGGCATTCAAAATCATGCCCAGGAGTGGAGTTCTGGGAACTTGAAGAGCACGAAGTGGCCTACAGTTGGCTCCGGGCATTCAAAATGTGGCCCGGGAATGGAGTTCTGGGAACTCGAAGACCACGAAGTGGCCTACAGTTGGCTCCGGGCATCCAAAATCTGGCCCGGGAATGGAGTTCTGGGAACTCGATGAGCACGAAGTGGCCTACAGTTGGCTCCGGGCATTCAAAATGTGGCCCGGGAATGGAGTTCTGGGGACTTGAAGACCACGAAGTGGCCTACAGTTGGCTCCGGGCATTCAAAATGTGGCCCGGGAATGGAATTCTGGGGACTCGAAGAGCACGAAGTGGCCTACAGTTGGCCCCGGGCATTCAGAATGTGGCCCGGGAATGGAGTTCTGGGAGGTCGAAGAGCACGAAGTGTGTGACTGTTGGCTTAAAACGACTTCTGCGGCACCCTGTCCGGCACCCGCCCAGACCCCCCTGTGGAGTCATCTGCTGCTCTCTTTTGACCCCACTAGAAACCTATCAGAACAAGCTGTTAGGTAATCAGGACGGGCTGGTTTTGGCTATTTTCGGCCCTGGGGGGCCCTCGCCGGGCCTCGGGACCGTCAAAAAACGACTCAGGATGAAAAACCGGCCCCGGGGAAGGGGTTGGGACTTCCAGGGACGCCGTCCTGAAAAAATCAGGACGTCGCATGTCTGGGGCGCACTGGCAAAAATCGAGACGGAGGTCTGGCACGCAGTTCGGCCCCCGGGGGGGGCCCTGGCCGGGCCTCGCGAGGCCGTCAAGAGAGGACTCGGGACGCGAGAGTCCGGTCCCGGGGAGGGGGTCGAGACTTCCGGGGGCCGCGCTGGAAGAAGTCACGGCATCGGATCTCTGGGGCGTGCGGGTGCCGCGGGGGTCTTCTGGAGGTCGGAAAGGGGTGTGGCATGAAGGGGTACGGTGCCCATCGTGGCAATGGCGATGCTACCTGGGATAGATCACATCGCCGAAGGCCCTTTTGCTTAAGATCAACACACCGCGCCCCCTTTGTACCAGACCCCTCGCCTACCTCCAGAGGTCTGCCCCCGAAGCCCGGTCGAGGGCGTGCACCCCGCGGGCTTGTTTGCTCCACAGAGGCCGACCTCCCTTCGGCGCAGGCGCCGGGGAGGCTCCTCTGCGCAAAGCACGCGGGGAGCGGTGCTTCCGACGCCGCGGCGCTCTCCGAGGCGTCTGAGGGTGGCTTGGACTAGGCCTCCACGTGCCGCCTTTTAGGGCTCTGTCTCATCTCCTCGTATCTCATCTCATCTCATATCATCTCATCCCGTCAACTCATCTTCAGGCTGCCGCCTGTGCCGCCGACCTGAATTCGGCGACGCATGTTTGGCCCGTTTTCTGCCAGGGTGCCTTCTCTGAGCACGGCAGGAGAGGTTCATGCGAGACCACCAGGCCTGAGCGTCGCCCCCCGGGACTCTTGATTCTTTGTTGCACCCCGGACTCCTCTTCTATCTACACAACCGTGATCATCCGATGATCATGGTCCTGATGGATCGCAACACATTCCTGAGCTCTAATGGGAGAACCAGCTGGGAATATTTAAGTTCGTTTTTGATTGGAGTCGTGGGGGGTGGCAGTGACTTGGGCTAGCGGTCGGTAGGGTAGGCGGGGGGACATCTGTTATTCAGGAGCAACGATAAACCCACCCCTTAAGGGGAAAAAGGGGGTTGGACAAGGAATCGCGACTGACCACCTCCTCAGAAGGCGGGTGGCATTATGAGCTAGCAGACCCCATGTGAGAGGTTGTCAGGGTCGGTTCTGGCGAAGCGAATTTCGCAATTTCGGGTCCCGAGATGCCGCCTGTGAGGTGGTCTGGCCGAGCTCGCCCGAGACATCCTTGCACTTGTGGGCTTCGAGATGCCGCGAGGGA